CAGGGAGAAAACTACTTAATTGTCTTTTGGTACAGTAATGTCACAATTTTAACACAACTATAATAACTTGATTGATATTTATGTGTGCTTTGTGCCCTGCTCCTCTCAGGCTTGTTTAATGAACATGACCAGTGATGCTTTCTTGGTCATCTTCTGTATGGAGTCCTCAAGTGATGTGATCAGTTCAGCCAAGACTGTAAGGAAGTCTGAGTTTGTGTGTGTTCTTGTACTTGATACACAGTGAAGACAAAATTTTATTTTATTATATTAATTTTTTTGTATACAGAGTGAAGACATTTTGGCCGGTCCTCACTTTCTGAAGCACCTTTTTGAGGGTTAAGACTTGGTTTTAGGGTTCATGTTAGAATTAGGTTTAGGTTAAGTATTAAAGTAAGGGTTGTGAATAGGCATTTAGTTCTTATTGTTAAGGTTAAAGTAAGGAGCTAGGAAATGCTTTATGTCAGTGGGTGTCCTCATAAAGATAGAAGTGTGTGTGTGTGCACATTTACCAATTTGGCTGGTGTCTGTCTGCCTCCTCCTCTGCCCCATCTTTTCAGTCACTGTCACTTCCCCATTATGATATTTCACTGCTAAAGGAGAAGTGTATTTATGTCTCTCTTATTGTTGTTCGTAGTGCGTGGAACTCTACAAACCTGAGCTGAGCTGGGACACCATCATGAGCTGTGTGAATGGGGATCAAGGAAACCAGCTGATGCATCAGAATGCCCTGAAGACCGCTGCCCTGAGCCCTCGACACCAATATGTCCCCTGGGTGACCATTAATGGGGTAAGACTGCAGTGCATTTAGCAGCGCCATTTAGCAACATAAACCTGACTTGAATGTAGAAAACATGCTTGTTGAGATTTAGAATTTTCCATCGTACCAACCTGACTTGTTTTGAAACCACTTTCTCCCCAAGTGCTGCCACTGCTGATGATGCACACTTTCTAAGCAAGTTATGTTATGCTTACAGTGATGCTATGATCTTGTGATTATACTAACACTTAATTTTCCACAAAACTGCAAGTGAAAGACAGCTGTGGCTGGAGTGTGAGAAGCTACAGCTTAATGGGACTCCAAAGCTCAGCACAACAGATGCTACTGTCT